AAGCCCGGAGCGCCGGCACATCTTGGAACCGCACGCTTTGCGCGGCCTGCAACTGCTCTGCCAGGTTGCTGAGGGAGGCCAGGAGCGGCGAGCAGTCCCGCAGGGTGCTCTCCCACAGGCCCTGCTGCTCCTCCACCACCGGGAAGCACTTCTTCAGGGCCTCCTGCACAGCAAGTAAAGGCCGGTCTTGAGCCATCTTCTGTTGGGAAAACAAAAGCAAAATAAAATAAAATAAAAAAAGGGTCAGGGCGCCAAGTCAGGAGACGAAGTGCTGGGTCCCGGGTGGGAGCCACTTCCTGCCCCGCAGTCGGCCCGGCTCTCGGCCTCCGAGTCCCTCCGGACAGGAGCTCCTGCCCGAGGCGTCCTCTCGCCTTCGGAAGCTGCTCCGTGAAGGACCCTTGCTTCCCCCGCTCAGGCGGGTGTCCTAGTTACTCCTCGGAATAGGGCAGTCTCCTGCTTCAGACTGAGGATTCCCGRAGCCCAAGACCTGTCTCCCCTCGAGACTTGTGCTCCTGGAGCCGGAATCTTGTCTCCTCTCTTTGAAACTGCCTTTCGCGTTCCCCAACCCCGCCAGATATTGAAGCGTGAGAACCCACCCGGAAAGCACCGCGGCTCGCACTTTCTGCGCACGCTCAGAAGTGACCGCCCGTGAGGACGACGGAGTCGTGGAAAGATGCCGTAAAGCCGCAATGACTTCTGGGCAATGAAGTCCTGCCTGTGGATTGGCTGTCTGATGGAGGAGCTTCCTTGTGGTTGGGTGTTCTGAGACCATCCTTAAAAGGGCCACTTCTCATTCGTCAGCCGCAGGCAGTTGAGTTTGAATTGGRTGGCGGTTAGCTAGAAAGCCTCTCCCTCTCAGCTGGAGCTGCGAGCTTTTTCTCGGCCCTAGCTACCTGACCCGTAGGTACGTGTCTCGCGATCTCTTTAGGCCTAGACCCCGAAGGACGATTCCCGGCTGTCGTCTCCACCCCTTATTTTCCCTCCCCTGTCTCTGCCGCTGACCCCTTGTGGCTCGGTCCCCCTCTCCCGCAGCCTCCACCGAAGCGCCATGGCTCCCAGGAAGCGTGGCAGTCGGATGAACAAGACCAACTCGTTGCGGAGCCAAAAGCTCGCCTCCTTTCTTAAGGACTTCGACCGTGAAGGTAAGGGGTGGATTCCCGCCGTCGCTGCTGCTACCTGAGGCGGTGGCAGGGCGCTGGCGGGTTGGGGCGCCCTTGGCCCGGACTCTCCCGCTTGGTGACGCTTGTCCTTTCGGCTTCTGCCTCTCGCAGTGCAAGTACGAATCAAGCAAATTGAGTCAGACAGGCAGAACCTTCTCAAGGAGGTGGATAACCTGTACAACATCGAGATCCTACGGCTCCCCAAGGCTCTGCGCGAGATGAACTGGCTTGACTACTTCGGTAAGAGACAAATTATGGCCGCGGTCAGGCCATGAGCATCGTGACACCCTTCAGAAAAGGTTCTCTAAAATGTTCCCTTCATCATGAGGTCCAACATGGCTACTTATGGAAAACTRCAACCCTGCTGCTTGGTCGCATTCTGTCTCACCTGCCTGCTTCATTCTCAATAGCACTTACCGTGGTCACACCCCCACACCCCGAACAGGCACACCAATTCAAACCTAAAGAACTAGGTGGCAAATATTTAAGGTTTCTTGAGCCAGAGTGTTCTCGATCCAGGTACTCAGCTCTGCTTTTGTAGTTTCGAAACAGCTATAATGAATGGGCACAAATGGGCTGTATTTCATTAAAACTTTATGGACAAACTAATATGAATTTCACATAATTTTCATACTCTAGGAGATATTCCTCTGGGTGTGCATGCATGTGTGTGTGTGTATGTGTATGTACATTATCCAACCATTTAAAAATGAACGAATTAATGACTTGGTTTGTTATCAGCACTCAGGTGGAAGTAGCTCTTTCTGCAGCTCATGAAAATTGCAAATTGATTTAAGTGTTCATTCTTGTCTTGATTTAAAAATGGGCAAATTGTTTGTGAACTGCAAGGACCGGAGAATTTTCCTGACCAGAGAAAAATCTCAGCTGATTTTCCCACTCCCTCACTAAATGTCCAGGGAAAAGCAGAGACCTTCCTCTGCTGGGTTATCCTTTTTCTGTTTTCCTTTTTATTAATAATTATAGTATGTAGACTTTKTCCTGGATAGAAATGCTTGTCCTGCTCACATAGGATTTAGCAAGTCTTTCAATTTGCCTTTTTATTTATTATTTCATGAATTCATTCATTTATACAAAAGTTGAGCACACCTCAGTCAGAATGCTGGATGCTGAAGATGCATTGGAGAATAAAATTGACATTKTTCCTGCCCTTGAGAGCATATGAGCTAGTCGGCAAAGGTCTTTTTAAAAATTCAGAGCCTGGGGATATATCTCAGTGGTGAGAACTTGCCTAGCATGGGTGAAGCCCTAGATTCAATTCCCAGCACTGCAAAAAAAATAAATAAATAAATAGAACAAAATGACAAGTATGACATTAGAATTATAAGTACTACAAAAGATATTAGAGTAGTGGCTAGTGTACTTAGTGTTTTGTACGCCAGATAGACATTGTACCAAAATGGTTTACATAATTGAACTAATTTTAACTTCATAACAAGCTAAGTAATTATTAATATCATGCCTGTTTTAGAAATTATAAGATTAAGGCATGAAGAAAGGTTACTTTGCTTAAGATTTCAAGCTAGTTAGTGGCAGAATCAATTTGAACCCCAGCATTCTGYTTCCAAAACTTGAGTTGTTAACTTTGTTATATTTTTGGAACTGGTGATTGAACCCAGGGATGCTTAATCACTGAGTCACAACCCCAGCCCCTTTTTTATATTCTATTTAGAGATGGGGTCTCACTAAGTTGCTGAGGTTGGCTTTGAACTCACCATCCTCCTGCCTCAGCCTCCTGAGCTGCTGGGATTACAGGTGTGCACTACCATAACCAGTAAGATCTTAACTGTTATATAGGATACCAAGACAGTCTCTAACAGTAGGATGTAACCTAAGTTTATTCCACATCTAAATCTAACAAAGACCTTTCTATTCAATGCATATTTACTATGCCAAATTTTTGCCAGAAGTGGGTCTTATTTATGGAATTCAGTCCAAGACAAGAGTGGACACTTAAACAGCTTTTGTTTTGAGTAGCTGTTGGGTATGATAAAGGGAAACAACTCAGCAATTTACTTTGTAAGTTTTACCGTTCACAGCAATCTAGTATGATAGAAACATAAGCAGAATTTTGGGGTGACATTTGAGCTGAGTTTTAAAGGATAAATTAGAAATTTATTGGGAGCAGAGGAAATGCTTAATACTAGGACTCTAAGTCATAAGAGATGGTGGCACATTTGAGAAATAACAAAAATTTTGATGAGGTGGAGTAAGTCAAAAAAGAAGGAATCCAGCTTAGAGAAAGATTGAACTAGATTGTGAGGGTCTTTCAATGCTGGAAGATGATTTATCATTGAAATCTGATAGTAACTAAATGTGATATTCTTTTTAAAGCCCTTGGAGGAAACAAACAGGCCCTGGAAGAGGCAGCAACAGTAAGTGACTTATTTTACTTTTGAGCTGGTTAGTTTGTAAGTATAATCCACTCACAAATTTCAACCAATGGGCTGSTATGGTGGCGCACACCTGTAATCCCAGGGGCTTGGGAGGCTGAGGCAGGAGGATTGTGAGTTCAAAGCCAGCCCTAGCAACTTAACAAGACCCTATCTCTAAATAAAATATTAACAAAGGGATTGCGGGGCTGGGGCTGTAGCGCAGTGGTAAAGCGCTTGCCTTGTACACTTGAGGTGCTAGGTTTGATTGTTAGTTAGCACCAAATAAAAATAAATAAAGATATCATACCAACTACAACTGAAAAAGTATTTAAAAGAAAAGAAAAGAATAGGGATGGGGATGTGACTCAGTGGTTAAACACCCTGGGTTCAATCCCCCATACCCAAAAAAAGATAACCAACTAATGGGTTTTACACTGTAAGAGAGGTTCCRTAAGGGAGCATTATCTCTGCCAACTAAAAAGTTATGGTTTTGTCAAACATTGAATAGATCTGAATAGCCCAAATAGATCTGAATCCCAAAAGGACTCTGATGTTATGATACAGTCTTCCTCACGCCCTTCTGTGAGTTCCTTGTTTGAAGGTTCAGCCAACCATGGATCAAAAATATATATTTTTTAAATCCATACTAAACATGTACAGACTTTGTCATTGTCCCCTAAACAATACAGTATAATAGTTATTTTTTATCTTGATGGAATTTAAAACATATAATAGGACATGCATAGGTTGTATGCAAATACCACATCATTGTATATGAAAGACTTGAACCTTTATGAATTTTGGTATCCTCAAGGGGTTCTGGATCCAATCCCCCTAGGATACCAAGGGACTACTATATATTTTAGGGGTTTTGTCCAAGGTTTCTAACTCACAGCTTTTATACCCCTTATAATTTCTTAAGCAACTACAACAGTAAGAACATCTTTTTGGCCTTTTGACCTGAGTAATTCCAGAGTGATAAAGGTGAAAGACAGTCTTTTGCTATTTATAACAAACCCCTTTCAACCTTGATGTTAATGAGGTGATTTTTTTTTTTTTTTTTGAAAGTCCCTGGGTAACCACTGGATGAGGTGCTGTTTCCAGGGAAACAAACCCTGTGCTCTGAGAGTTGGAACTCAAAACCTCTCTTCCAGGGAGGGGAGAAGGTTAAGTTGATCACCAAAGGCCAATGATAAATCAATCAATCATGCCTATGTAGTGAAGCCTTCATAAATACCCTTAAAAGGACAGGTTCATGAGCTTCCCAATAGTTGAATACATGGAGATTCCTGGAGGGTAGCAAACCAGAGGGAACATGGAAGTTATGTGCCACTTCCTCTTGCGTTAGGCACCTTGTAGGGATTTTTCTGTTTTTTTTTTTTTTGTTGTTGTTGTTGTTTAAGTATATATATTTTTTAGTTGTAGATGGACATAATACCTTTATATTATTTATTTATTTTTATGTGGTGCTAAGGATCAAACTCAGGGCCTCACATGCTGGGCAAGCACTCTACCACTGAGCTACAGCCCAGCCCTAAGGAGGTTTTAAATATTATTTTTCTTCTGAAGGTTCCATAATGTTGGTATATGAAATAAACTGGTAATAGATTAGCAATGGAACAAAGGCATACAATTGATCAACATACATAAACATAGGAGCCATACACAAAGGATAAAATTCAAAGAAAGAGTCAGATAAAAAAGCTTGAGGCTCCTGGAGCAAAAGAGGTTACTGCAGGGGCTGGGGATGTGGCTCAAGCGGTAGCGCGCTCGCCTGGCATGCGTGCGGCCCGGGTTCAATTCTCAGCACCACATACAAACAAAGATGTTGTGTCCGACGATAACTAAAAAATAAATATTAAAATTAAAAAAAAAAAAAAAAGGTTACTGCAAGCTATGGGAGGTAGAGGAGGGGATCCCATTGAGAACAGAAGTTATCTTATTATACAAGTAAAGTCTCTCAGGTAATGGTCATCAGAAGGCCATAAATAAAGCGGTTMCAAGTTCAGAGAGCAGCCCTAGCAAATTAGTCAAACCCAAGGGTGGGAATGGGGTGGGGGGCAAGGAACTCCTTATTTATTTATTTATTTTTATGTTTGTTGGGGATCAAACCCAGGGCCTCACCTGTGCTAGGCGAGCAGTCTACTGCTGAGCCACAACCCCAGCCCGGGACTCCTCTTTATAATCAGTTGGTCAGAAACACAGGTAAAGGGCTGGGGATGTGGCTCAAGCTGTAGCGCGCTTGCCTGGCATGCGTGCGGCCCGGGTTCGATCCTCAGCACCACATACAAACAAAGATGTTGTATCCACCGAAAGCTAAAAAATAAATATTAAAATTCTCAAAAAAGGGGGCTGGGGATGTGGCTCAAGCGGTAGCGCACTCGCCTGGCATGCATGCGGCCCGGGTTCGATCCTCAGCACCACATACCAACAAAGATGTTGTGTCCACCGAGAACTAAAAAATAAATATTAAAAAAAAAATTCTTTCTCTCTCTCTCACTCTCTCTAAAAAAAAAAAAAAAAAAAAGAAAGAAAGAAACACAGGTAAAACAACCTGGGGCTGGCAGTTAGCATGGGAAGTAGGGAATAGTCTTGTAGGATCTGATGCTATTCTCAGATAGATGGTATCAGAATCGAATCAGTGGTGTCCACTATAGGATTTCTGAATATAGGATATAGTATGGTGTCGGGAAAAATCCACACACATTTGGCCATGGAAATGTTCTTAAGAATATAGTGGGGAGAAGTGGAGTTTTGTCATTCTTAATCCTCAGAGGCAGACAGTTCCATTTTTGACAGGCCCCTAGTGGTCCTTTTCCTGAACTCTTTAGGAGAATGGAAAGCCTCAAGCTCAAGTGCCTTTAAACCATGACCTGAATGGCTAGGAGATAAACTACAACTTTATTTGATTTTATCTTTTGGTACTGGGGATTAAACCCAGAGGCACTCTAACATTAAGCTATGTTCCCAATCCTTTTTATTTTTTATTTTGAAACAGGTTCTCACTAAATTGCAGAGGCTGGCCTTGATCTTGCCATCCTCCTGTCTCAGCTTACCAAATTGCTAGGATTATAGGCTTGTGGCACTACATCCTGCTCAAAATAAAAATTTGAAAAGCCTGGGGATGTAGCTCAGGGATGGAGTAATTGCCTAGCATGTTTAAGGCCCTAGTTTTTTTTTTTTTTTTTTTTAATATTTATTTCTTAGTTCTCGGCAGACACAACATCTTTGTTTGTATGTGGTGCTGAGGATCGAACCCGGGCCGCACGCATGCCAGGCGAGCGCGCTACCGCTTGAGCCACATCCCCAGCCCCTAAGGCCCTAGTTTTAATCCCCAGTACCACCAAAAACAAACAAACAAAATATGTGCATATCCACTTGTGTGTCTTCCTGTTGAGAGAGAATTTATTGTAGCTTTTAACACATTTTCAATGTGAACACAAAATTCTGCATTCTTCAATGAGAATCATTTGGAATCTGAGGTTTGAAGGGGTATGACTTCAAAGGGTACATATTTTCTGTGAATAACAGATTCCTACCAGCTCAAGAAGTTAAAGATAGGCAGGAACTAGTTATTCAGTTAGGAAAAAAAATAAGATTTGGGGGATGAATATTGTAAGAGAGGGATGGGAATAACTGAAATAAAATTGAGCTAGTAAAACATTCTTGACCCAAGCCTTCTTTTTCTTTATGTGTCTGTGACCCATTTTATTGATGCCCCCCCCCCTCACAGACCCGGATCTAATATTTCAAAACATTCTGAGATGAAATAGAATCATTAATTAATGCATCTTCTTCTTTTTGAATTAATCAGACATATAGAGCTGAAATAAGAACTTCTGGTGTAACATGAGAGAACCCCTGTTATCTCCAGAAAAACTCTTTAGAGACTCAATGCCCAGGATTTTAATTGGGTGCTGGCTTCTTAGAAAAAGAAAGAAGAAAGAAGCAGGTGTTTGGTATAGACCACAATGTTTGCATAAAATTTAGGCATGGTGAACTATTCTTATCAAAGAATGATGGGAGTCACATCATGCTAGTTATTGCTAGAGACTGTAGAAAGTTTTCAGGAATGCCATTTCTGTTCCATCAAGCATGATAGACCCCACTAATCTATCCCAGCACTGTCTTCTAAGCCCTGACAGCCTCAGAATTCTTCTCTCAGTACTCCATGTAGTCTCTACAAATCCAGATGTGATATCTGTGTGATTCCTACTCTGTAATAACCATTTTAGTATTTACATGTGCCCCATGAGGAGAAGACTACAAATCATATCTGTTCTTGCCTGTAATCATACATAGGAGTAGTCACCACCATAAACCTAATTAGAAAGAAAGGAAGCCTTTTTGAAGGAGCATCAGAAAACCTTACTGAGAGCTGGGTGTGATGGCAGTCCCAGCTACTTGAGAGGCTTGGATGGGAGAATCACTTGAGCCTAAGAGTCCAAGACCAGCCTGAGTAATGTGGTAAGACCCAGTCTCACAAAAAGAAAAAGAAAACCCTGTTGAGACCCTGTAGACTTCCCCCAAAAAAAGGTCTGATAGTATCAAGTGTTGTAAAGGATGTGATTCATTAGGGACTTGTGTTTACAAATGAGATGTAAACAAGATGTAAACTTTGGGAAAAAATTTGGCATAATATTAAGGCTGACATTTATGTAACACATAACCCTGTAGTACTCTATCCTTCCTAAGTATGTGGCCAAGAGAAAACTTGGACGTCAAGTGCATCACACATGTAGGTGAGACAGTTCAAAGTAGCACTATTGATGGGAAAATGGACAAACCCACGGTGATAGAATCACACACATTCAGTTATACATTTACTATACATTTACATTTACTATTGTCTTATGCAAATAGTGGTTACCTCTGAAGAATGATAGGATTAAAAGCCTGGTCACCTTTGGGAGGGAGAGAGACAAAAATGGAACAGGGAAGGAATACATACTTAGAAACAAGTTATTGGCAATATTTTAGGTCTTGTGGTATGTGTAGGTTTATGGAGGTTTGCTGTATTGTATTTTTTTTTTTTTTTTAATTTATTTTTTAGTGTTCGGCAGACGCAACATCTTTGTTTCTATGTGGTGCTGAGGATCGAACCCGGGCCGCACACATGCGCAATACCGCTTGAGCCACATCCCCAGCCTCTGCTGTATTGTATTGTAACTAATATTTAGCAGTCACTTTTCATGTACCAGGGCCTCACGTGTGCAAGTATTTCTCATATTTGATGGACTAAGCCTCGTACTTTCTGTCTGTGTTTGTCACAGGCTGATGTGGATATCACAGAAATAAACAAACTCACTGCAGAAGCTATCCAGACTCCCCTGAAACCTTCCAAAAGTGAGTACTTTTGAAAACCCCTTGTTGGACAGAGAGCTGAGGTCYGAGGAGCCTGGTAAGCCTCTCAGGCAGGGCCTTTTGGTGGCTCTCTTCCCTCTAATATCAGGTTCCCAATCCTGTAAATCCMAAAATTTTATTTTAGCTGCTGCATTTAGTTAATTAAATGTATGTATGTATAATACTAACCAAACTCACAAGGCTGTTGTGTGAGCAAAAGTGAAAGGAGATTGGGGGGGAAACAGCTGTGCAGAAACCAAACATTGTTGCCTGCTTGCTCTCCCCTGAGTAACACAGAGAGGCTGGCAGGATTCAAGGAGATGTTCCAAGACAGGCAATGCCAACTGAGACTCCCTGATGTGATCTGCAGGGTCAAAAGAGAARGAAACTTTCGTAGAAGGAAACTTTCTCAGTGTAATTTCACATTCCCCAATTCAGTGATCTGGCCATGTAAAATCGTCTCACATCCATGTCCTACACCAGAGAAACACTGTCTCATAGGAAAGCTGTATGGGAAGCCAAGTTGGAACTTTTGAGCTTGGAATATGGTCAGGATGAATTGAAACCTGGGTTGAATGTCACTCTCATGAAGCTATGGTAGCTCAATGCATCCAGCTCTTGTGAGGGCAGATCTGCCCCATAGCCTGGATGTGGGGCTACACTCTAGGTACCTGCTCCACTAACCAGGGCCAGAAACACTGTCTTCTCGTAGTTATGACTGGCCTTCCATCAGAATTGTCTTGCTGAATGATGAGGTTTTTACTTTCTTTGTGCCATTTTCCAGTCCTGCCTCTCAAGTTATGATAGAATTGAACTTCAGTGTTTTTTGGTTACATATTATCAGTTTTGCTTACATAGTGATGATGGTGGATGGGAGGCAGAGGTCTTCTGATTTCACTTTGTACAACTGAATATACCAGGACCAATGTCAACCAATCATTAAAATTTATTTTTTTTTTTTTTTACCCTTTTGACTACTGAACTTCAACTACATTGTAAGCTATTAAAATATATCTCAGGCTGGGGATGTAGCCCAATTGGTAGAGTGCTTGCCAAAGTTTTCTTATGGTATCTATGTATCAATACTAGTTCTGCTCTTTGGAGCCCCATAAAACTATTTTCAATATGACAACCCCTTAAATATTAAAAATTGGCATTTATCCTTTGGAATCATTCTTCTTAAATATCCCTAATGCTCCTTTTCCTCTTTTGATGACAATTATAATAAAAATTTTATTTTTATAAATAACAATAATACAATAAATAACACTTGTTATAACAGTGTCTGGTATGGTCCAATAGACTTTACATTCATTAATTCCTCAAACACTTTACTAAACACTTAGAGACATAATTTTAAGACTTGGAGGTAAGAATGAAAATAACAAATGTGTTCTTATGGAGCATACATTCCAAACCTCATAATATCGCTATAGTAACAGCTCTCTGATAAATGTGAGGGAACTGAACACCTTGATTAAAGCCATTTGACCTAGTAAGTGGTAGTACCACATTTGAAGCTCAAGTCTGTCTTGGTAGGAGGGCTGGGTTATCCCTGTAGAATCATTGTATGGGGTTTCTTATCTACTCTGATTAAGTTCCTTTGTTTAAATGCCCCCCACTTTTTTCAAGTGATCTCCTGGGATGGGATTATACCTCAGTGGTGGAGCCTTTACCTAGAGGCCATGAGGCCGTGGGTTCAATCTTCAACACTGCCAAAAAGAAAAAAGTGGAGTTGAGTCTATTTCATGATTGTAGCCTTAGGTTATGTTAAGTGTCATTCCTTATGAGAAATGTGAATGCATGAAATTTCTTCCCATCAGAAATAACACACTGTTAATGCTGTCTCTTTTAGCACGAAAGGTAATACAAGTGGATGAAATGATAATGGAAGAAGAAGAGGAGGAGGAAAATAAACATAAGAATCTTCAAACTTCAAGAGTAAGTAGGAATTCAGGATAAGGGCTGAGGGCTGGCAAGAGATAAGCAAATACAAAAATACATGGGATGTGGGCTGAGGCTGTAGCTCAGTGGTAGAGCGCTTGCCTTGCACACGTGAGGCCCTGGGTTTCATCCTCAGCACCACATAAAAATAAAAAAATAAAAATAAAGATATTGTGACCATCTACAACTAAACACACACACACACACACACACACACATGATGCAGTGTTGCACTCCTAGAGCTCACATTTGATTGAGAGCATCCTACGTAAGTGGTAAATAACAAAAGAGATCATTGACATGCATTTGAAGTGTGTAGACCTCAGAAAAGGAAGCTAGTAAGCCTTCCCTACCCAAGGAGGACATAGCCAGTCTCTTCAAGGTCAGTGAGAAGAAAGGGGAGAAAATTCCTGGAAGAGCTAGGAAAGGGTCCAGCTAAGGAGCTCCTAGGAAACAATTTGGTATGGCTGGTATAGGACAGGAGGAGAGCAGGGACCAAATAACGGATGGCCTTGTGTGCCAAACTTGGAAGTTTCTATTCTGTCAGACAGGTGATGGTAAGTGACATCAGATACATATTTTATAGTAGTATTCAGGATAAATGGAAGAGGAGAAAATAAGGAAAGCTGTTAGGTTGAACTAAGGCGGTGACTAAAAACAGTTATGGTTTAAGGTAAGTTTTATAAAGGAGAACTAGCATGATTGGTGGAAGAAGGAATCAGAGATGACCAAATACTTTCTAGCTTAGGCAATTGCCATCCAGTGAACACGGGACCCTGGAGGCAGAGCGGTGGGTTAGGAGACGTGCTGGTTGCTTGACATGTTGTGTGTTGAGTACTTTTCTAGGACATGGGAATTCAAATAGGAATTTCACCTGGAGCTTGGGGGAGGAGGAAGTAGAGAGATGCACTGCCTCCCAGTTTTTACATGCTAGTCCCACGGGGAGAGCAGAAAAGACTGTCAGGGAGAGCATGAGGAGGGAGACTGCAGGTGGGCATGAGAGAGAAGTTGGGAGGAAGGGCTCCTGATGCAGACCGCCAAGGGACAGAAAGAGATGCGGGAAGGCTGGGTTGGACTTGGAAGAAAGGAGGGGAGAGTTGCCAGGAAATTAGTCACTCTTGTCAGATATTCCCAGGACTCAGAAGGTGAGGACTGCAGGGGGTTTCCTTGGATTGGGCACAAGGGATACCCAGAGTGACCACCACTGTAGCACTTTATGGAAAGTACTGGAGCAAATCAGGCTTCAATCTTGGCCCAAATTTTCTGTTTTGAAGGCCCAGCCAGTGTAAGTCCTCTGTTGATTAATTACATTCTGAATGCTTTAGTCACTAAATTCTGTGAGTTGAACTTTCTTTTTTTTTTTTTTTTTTAACTTTTTTTAGTTGTTAATAGAACTTTATTTTTATGTATTTATATGTGGTGCTAATAATCGAACCCAGTGCCTCACACATGCTAGGCAAGTGCTCTACTGCTGAGCCACCACCCCAGCCCCGGTTGAACTTTCTTATGTTCAGTATTAACTTTCCTTCCAAGAACTGATCCCCTTTCCTCTCCTTTTTTAACCCTCCTTAACTTTCCCCTGGGCTGGGCTTCGTGTAACCTCAGTTTTATTGATTGTGACTATAGGTCAAAAGGTGTCCTCCATCTAAGAAGAGAACCCAGTCCGTACAAGGAAAAGGCAAAAGCAAAAGGTAATGGGTTTCCAAAGTTAGACACGTCACTTGGGCTTTATGAAAGAACTCTGTACAACAGGCAGAAGAAGGCAAAAAGGGCTTTGGTGATTAGTGTTCTAGGAGTGTAAAGACACAGGATCCTTGAGGAGCCATGCTGGAGGGCCTCTAGTCTCAGCCAGTTCTTCTGCTTACCTTCTCTATTCTCCCCCACTGTTTTATTTTTAACAGGCAGAGTGAGCTCAAAAGAGTTTATTAAGAACTGTATTTTATGTTTAGTTGCCTGACAGTCCTTGTGTAGAGGTACCCAGAATCAGTCACAGAGTGGCCATCACCTGCCCACAATTAGTTGCTTGAAATGTTCCTTCTGGTCTTGCCAAATAAAGATTCTATGAGATGACTATGGAATCTCCACTATTTGGAGATAAGAGGAAACAGCTTAGGAAAGTAGGCATTGGACTATGAGTCCCCCTTTCTCTCTGGGCAGAGGTAGCAGGACATTAACCATCTGTCTTTCAAGAGAACAAGAATTCTAGTTTTGGGGGTAGCTGTGAGCTTTGAGTCATCTTCTCCATCTTGATTGAGAAGTCAGACTCTGCAAGATTTCTGCTGGGTTTCAGAGTTGCTCCTCCCTAATTGGCTGTGTGATCTTGGACAAGCTCTTTAAACCTCTATGCCTGAGTTTCTGCATCTGTAAATGAGGATGATAAATATTGCTTGTTTCCTACGTTAGCTGGCAGGGCCACATGACTTGATGGGTACAGGACATCCAGAGCATGATCAGTGCTCTCCACGTGTCATCTGCCTCTACAGCTGCTGCTGTCATTGCACCTGAGAGTTGACACATTTATGGCTGTTTCTTCCCTGTAGATCAAGCCACAACAGCACTGTGACCCCAGCTGTAAGCAGATTAGAGTTGTCTATGGCGAAACCAACTCCATGCCCGACGCCCAGGTTTGACTCCAGGTGAGTGCTGAGCAGCACTTGGATTCAGGGGGGAGCCCAAAGTAGGACTGTTAGGAAATGCCCTGAATCCTGGCCTGAGAAGCCACCTGGGCTCCCTAGTGTTTGCCCCTCCCCTGCATGCAGGTTCACCCAGTTCAGGGCCAGAAATGTTCTTTATCTGATGAGAGAGAAGAACATTCTGCCCGTGGTGACTAGGAGACATCTATGTGACTCTGGATTTTTTCTGATTCTGGCCAAAAGATTTTTTAAGCTGGCTAGGTACTTTCTTATACCTGTGGCAGAAGTAAAATTAACACCATCTTTTTTGGAGGGCAAATGAGTGAGAATGTTTATAGCAGAAGTTGAGACCTTTCATAAGAGTTAATCGCTCAAGTAAGAATGCTGTGTAGCCCTTAGAAAAGAATGGCTGTGTACATACCCCACAAGAAGAGCTTCCTAATCACAGAGATCTCCAAGCAGCTTACCAACAGTGCAAACTTTAGGATCCCATTTGCTTTATGCACACACAGAATACTTCTGGAAAGTTTACTCGGAATTCAGAGGAGTTACCTCTGAGGAGTGGAGTAAAGAGCTATTGACTCTGAGGTGGGAAAAGTGAGGAAGACTTACTTTCACTTTTAATTCCCACTTGATTGTTTTTTCACATGGCTAAGTAGCAAAAGCTAATTAGGGGAAACAGCAGCATTTTAGCTGTCTTAAGGAGGTTGGTGTGGGGATTGGTGTGATGATATAATCTCTGAATCATCCTCCCTTGACCCTGGAGAGTTCCTCTTGATGGAAGGACTTAGCCACTCTGGGAAACACCTAGCCAGTTTATTTCTGGTCCCGTGGGTGGGTGGAGGACTGGCACCCATATAGAGCATTGGTCCTAAACTTTACATGCGTATGCGTTGACTCTTTTTAGATATATGTTTGATAATTACAGCCTCCTTTCTCCAGCTGTGTTTAGTCATTACTACTTAAAAAATGTTTTCCCTAAATTTAGAACTTGCCTTCTAGAAATGTGTGGTTTGAAAGCTGCAGCTTAAAACCAGATGGGGTTGGAAGAGCTCACAGTGCTTGATGTCTTTTAGTCTGCCAAACTGTCTTCACAGAGATTTTCCTACTTTGTAGGGTCTTCAAGACCCCAGGCCTGCGCACGCCAACAGCCAGAGAGCAGATTTACAGCATCTCTGCCAATGGCAGCCCTCTTGCTGATGGCAAAGAGATCTCCCTGACTGTGCCAGTGGGCGGCGGAGCGGTAAAGTATTTCTCTGGGAAGCCAGACCACAGTGTGCTGCTCAGTGAAGCCTTTCCCTTCCCTGGGCCATCAACCACCTCTGTCCTTCAGAGCCCTTTGGTGGCCTAGGTCCTGATCTCTATGCTTCTGCAGGGCTCAGAACCCAATTTTGTTTCCCATGTTAGAGGCCCAGACTGGGAGGATCCCTGCCCGGCTCAGGGTTCCAGCTGTCATTTATCTACCGGATTAAAGCAGGCCAAAGGTGCAAAGGACATGATGCCTAATCTTGAGAAGCAGTTCAGTAGTCAGTTGGGTTTGTAGTTATAACACTTAGGCTACAACAGTAGGGTTAAAGGGATTATGACTATGGGGTGCTCTTAGTCTAGACAGGGCAGTGAGAGCTGTACCTTCAACTCTGTGCAACCCTGCGGGATTCAGAAGCAGGCTGTCCTGGTTTCTCTAGACTATAAAGAGCGAGTTGCTGACCTCAGCCCCAGTGGCAGGGTGGCCTCTCAGATGGTCTGGTGGGTTGCTAAGCTAGCGTGCATGCCTTTGACCCCAGTGATCCAGCTGGTGGCCCAGTGATAGTGCTGTTGATGTTATCTTCTCCTTAGGCCTGAGCCACCTCCTGCCTACCTTGCCACTTCTCCCTCCCAGCCATCCCCACCATCACATGCAGGATATCCAGTGGACCCCCTGAGGCACACTGGGCTGTGGGTGGGAGTTCTGCCTTAAAAGACATGTCAATGTAACCCATTCTCCTCTCCACACAGAGTATGCGGTTATTGGCCAGTGACTTGCAGAGGATTGATATCACACAGCTGCATCCAGAGGCTTTAGGGGACATTAAGAAGCTCTCGGTGGGTTCCATGTTCATCTCCTGGCCAGGAAGCCTGTGGCAGCTTTCCTGGTTTAGCTTTCTTTAGGGTTGTCCTCTGGGTCTGAGCGAATACTTGATATTTAGAATTATGTTGCCTTCTCCCAAGGGATTGTGACTGTTATCCTGCTTACATAGCAGCAGTTCTGGTCCGAGATTGATGTTGAGTTTGGTCAATCCCAGATGGCCTGTCATTGAAGTCTCACAATAATTACAAGGATCAGGCAATTAAGTGCCAGGGTGTCCACTGACCACCATGAACTGAAACTTCCTTCAAGGAGGGAAGAGACTTGTTATAAGGGATCTCACAGAATCGAAGAAACATTTAAAGTGCTGGGGACCATCAGAAATCGGCAGTGGCAGTATGTGGCCCTTCGTGAGCACACCAATCTAGTGTCTGTTTGGCTCGGGGTTCCCAGCCTTCTTTCTCTGGCACATCTTCATCCTCCCTGTTGGCACATGACCCTCTCCTCAGGCTCTTGGTTCTGCTGTTCTTTAACAGTGATTCATATGTGGCTTTAGGTGCCAACATCTCTGATTCTAATTGTTGCTCCAGGGCCACAGCTATTCAGGTTCCTGTTTTCATTTAGGTTCTTAAGAAGGAGATTTTAACTGGCCTTGCTTTGGTCTGAGGCTCCTCCCTGGTGGGGTCATCTGTGGTAGTGGGTGGTGGGTGGGAGCACTTAGARTAGACCTGGCTGCCACAGGCCCACACACACCCAGCCACCCAAACCACGTGACCATCCTCCTTTAGCATTATGGTCCCAGATGCTCACTTGATACCTTCACTGTCTCATTCAAGTGTTATTTTAACCCTTTGTTTTGATGAGAAAGTTTCAGAAAAGGTAATCAGGGTGAGGTACAAGTCAAGAATGGAAGGGCTGAGACTCACACAGACGCGTGCGTGGGTAGACTGGCTTACAAAGTGCTATCTTCTTTAAATGGCCTATCTCCTCTTTTTAGAGTCATCTCGCCCAAATCTGCAGCAGAATACGATCCCACAAGTGAGGAAGCAGGACTGCATAGGCTGTAGCAGTGACATTGGCAGCAGAAGGTGCACATCTCCCTCCTGTTACCCACCATCTCCTCCTCTGTCGATGCGGGGTACTAGGTGGGGCCTTGGAATCTTTTACCTGCTGTGCCTAATAGTCCTTGTCAAGCTGATGTGTGGAGCAGAGTTTTGTGCTTATCAAAGACCAAAAACTGGTTTGGAGGCAGCTTCCATGTCTTGTATTTCTACCTCTCTAGTTAGTGGGGATTTGGAGAAGGGAATTACAGGGCTTAGAGTAGTCTAGGAGTTTAAGTGACTGGCTGCAGAGTAACTATCCCTACGCTGTCTATTGGTCCAGTGGTCCCTGCCAGGTCTGTGGACTCCGCAGAGAGCACTTCTCCGGGGGCGGGGGGGGGGGGGATCACTGGGAGGGCCAGGTGCCTTGTCTGGTGATATTGTTATGTTGTTATGCGTTTAGCTCATGCTGAGGGCATAGACTAGTTGTGTGGAGTCAGCAGTGACAGCCTTGTGGTCTGAGCAGAGCCTCTGGATCCCAAAGGGCCACATACTATGGTCCAGGAATTTTGGGAACTAGGATTATTACTCCTGGCTTGCAGGCACAAAGCTCCCTCTCTTGCGTCTGGCTCTTTGTGTGGCATCTTTTGTGTTATTAACTCGGTCCTGTACAGGCTGGTTGTGGCAAGTTGCTTTATTCTCCTTTTCATGAGACTTTTTGTACATATTGTTTTCCTAGTAATGGTATCTCCAAGCTGATTTGTTCAAATCAGTTACTGCAAGATACTGCTTTCAATAAATTTTGATTTTGTTTTTTAATCAATATTCCCAGTTGTGCTACATGAACTGAAGGGACCATTTTGGAGCTAAGCTATTGGAGTGGGGATCTCTGGACAACTGCTTTCTTCAGAAGGCACAGAAACCTTTATTACAGGCAAAATTTCTGGTATCTAAAGCGGTGCTCACACTCAGATCCAGGGCAGCAGTAACCTCAGCCCCCCAGCAGGTTCCCCCTAATGCCTTCATTTCAAGAGTTAGACATTTACATCTGGGAAGACGGAGATCAAGGATGTCTGTAGTAAACCTGTGGAGTGAAGGCTTGTGGGCTGGGACGTTGAGGGGTGGGTGACTCTGTGATCACGACTCTCGCTTCCCAAAGTCCTTGGGACTTCGGCAGGTCTGCCTTCCTCAAGTTCTTTACACTGAAATGATCATCATGGAACTTAGCTGGCCACTGAGCACAGGGATTCATGGAGAAGAGGCCCTTTGGTCAGCACGTGGAAGAAAGCTTACTCATGCAAGGAGGTGACCTAGCCTCTAAGACCACACCTGAGGCTTCTCCCTGGCCCTCCTTTGGCGCAGCGCTGAGAAGGGCCCGACATGAAGGAAACACCCGGGACCAACACGCTGCACCCAGAGCCAGGCTCATCTGGTTCACTCCATTCACACCTCTGCCTAGGTGAGCCCACTGCAGAAAATGCTTGATATGCAACAGGTACCTAGTCAAGGCCTGCGACTGGGATAGGGCAATTCATGTGATGTGCTTGATATGAGGTTTAGACATGAGAAGGTTTAGAGGTGAGGGGCTGTGGCTGTGGCTCAGTGGCAGGGCACTTGCCTAGCATGTTTGAGGCACTGGGTTCAATCTTCAGCACCACATAAAAATAAACAAAAGTATTCTGTCCATCTACAACTACAAAAAAAAAAAAAAAAAGGATAAGGAGGTTGAGGTGAAATGAGTGGGTTATGAGATGGTTGTTTTATGTGCAGAGATCTCGTAGTAGGGGTTAACTGGATGGTGGTGTGGTCAGGTAGGGTGTGGCTGGAGGAGGTGGGTCATTGGGGCATGCCTTTGGGCATATTTTATCTGATGAGGGAGGAGCTTGTCATCCCCTGGAGTCCCTCCACCCACCCCACCCACCCCCTCCTGGTAGCAGTGTCCTGAGCTGCTTTCCTCTGCCACACTCATCATGTTCTCCCTCACCTCGGGGCCCCCAAAGAATGGACTCGGCCGTCTATGGACTGAAACCTCAGAAATATGAATGCCAAATAAACTTTTCCTTCTTTAAAATTCTTATTGTCAGGTTTTTTGATCACAGTGACAAAAATCTAACTAAAATATGATAGAAGGGGCTGGCTAGGAAGGCTGGTTTTCCCCTGGTACTAGGGACTGAACCCAGGTGCTCTTCACACTGAGCTGCCTCCTCGATCCTTTATRCTTTGGGACTGGGTCTTACTAAGGCTAGCCTTGAAATTGTGATCCTCCTGCCTCAGCCTYCTATGTAGCTGGAATTACATATATGTACCATAAACTGGGAGATTTAAAAAAATCTTAGCCTCCAAAAGTAAGATCTGGCAACACAGGCCCACAGTCAGAAGTGGGTAGAACTTTCCTTGGCCCTTAGAAAATTCTCTTCCTGTTTCCTATTCAAAGCAGTCCCTAAAAGATTACTTCTCATAGTAATGTCACCTACTTAATCCCTCTGGGCAAGTTAATTTGTACCTTTTGCCGGGGATATAAAGCAGACAGCTTCTCTAAATAGAAGGGAAGATGGAAGCCTGGCATCCCTTCCCCCAGGCCCCCTGAGGCAGTTTCAGGGGACTCCTGAGCGCCAACACAAGAGTAGGTTCCTCTTTACCTGACAGGGCCCCTGGTGTTTCTAAAAGCCTACTTGGGGCTTCCTATTGAAGGAATTGCAGATATATTGCCTTGTGAAGAGTTACTCATGTGAAGAGCTAGCACATCTGTGTGAGCCAGAGGACATCACCTAGTGATTGTTCCTTCAGAGCATTAGAATGCCATTCATTCAAGGGAACTTAGAGCTCCGTGTCCACCAGTCACCAGTGACTGAGCTCACGCATCAGTGCAGAACTTACCTCCTCAATGTGCCCCCCACTGCCCCATGACCTCAGAAAAGCAAAGTGTACCTCAGTCACACTTGAACACCCTGACAGGGCTGCCTCTTATTTTGCATAATTAGGTAGTTGTTAACCTACACCTAAGCCCCTCAAAATTTTTAAAATAGATAACTTTCTTTAGTTGTAGTTGGACACAATACCTTTATTTTATTTATTTACTTTTTATGTGGTGTTGAGGATCGAACCCAGGGCCTTGCATGTGCTAGGTGAGTGCTCTACTGCTGAGCCACAACCCCAGCTCTAAAATACATAATTTATGTGGCTTCAGATGAAGGGCCAAGAGAGATGGTGAGGGGAATCAATCAGAATTGGAGGCCACTAGGTGGGAGTGTCTCCACTTAATGGAAGTCAAATCCCATTTGCTTTGGCTAAGGTGCCATCTCTGTGGACAGGATGAGACATTTTCTCAGCTCTTTGCCATCATCCCGCAGTCTAACCCCATCAAGGACATCACTTCTGACCACCAAGTGGGTCCTGCACTTCTSATCTCTACACTCTGCAATCCTCTTTCCCTTAGTTGACATCAGGGTCAATGTTTTTTTGTTGTTGTTTTCTTTTTTGGGGTACTGGGGATTGAACTTGGGAGCACTTGACCACTGAGCCACTTCCCCAGCCCTATTTGATTTCATTTGTATTTTCATACTGGTGTATCTCACACCCAATGGTCTCACCCAGTTGCTTAGCACCTCATTGTTGCTGAGGCTGGCTTTGAACTCATAATCCTGTTTCAGCCTCYGGAGCCACTGGCTTACAGGTGTGTACCACAACACCCAGCTAATAATGTTTTCTGGGTTGTAGACATGGTGGACCACAGACATACTTTTGGCCCTAAGATACCAGGAAGAGCCCAGATCCATTTACAGATGTTCAGTGCACACAAAAGCACATGCTACATGATGATAGGCCCAGAACCTCAGAATGGAGACACAATCTCCAGGAATACCCCTCAACTTAGCTACAAAGGTCACACTAGCAAACCTCAGGCAACTCTCTTCACAGTGCCTGGCTGGTGGCACATACCTATAATTCCAGCTTTTCAGGATGCTGAGACAGGGATTGAAAGTTCAAGAGCAACTTAATGAAATTTTAAAGGGGCTGGAGAGATGTAGCTCAGAGGCAGAGCTCTTGCCTAGCAAGTGCAAGTCCCTGGGTTTAATCCCAAGCACAAAGCGGGAGTGCCAAGGAGCAGAAGGGAGTCCACCTGGGAGGGGATGTAAGGTGTTTGCAATGGGGGGAAAAAGTCCAGTTTGCATTTTCAGTTTTTCTTTTAGACTTGTTTTGGTCAAAATAGCTCATCTGCTCTCAAAATGCTGGAAGTCATCAAGAGGTCATCCATGACCCAAAACAATTTCTGACTTATTTCTGTTGCCCGAGTCCCCACTTTACTAAATGGGAAATGTTCAAAGGGGGAAATTTTTTAAAAATATACCAGCAGGCACTTCAATTTTAATGGCAAAAGTCTCCAAAGACTTGCGTGGCAAGGAGTTTTACTCAGTTCCTAAGCAATGTGATGGTGACATTAGGAACAGATGCTAGTCCAGAAGCTGGTTAAAAGGCAGCGCAAACTCACTACCTGTTTTTCCCGGGAGCCTCTCCCTCCTTCCCAGGGACTGGGGGAGGCAGCACCCTCTCCTGACTCCCACTGTGCCTGGACTCAGTCTTTATTGGTCGACTTCTCATGATTTTTACTTAACTGACTCATTATTATTAGACAAGGTCTTAACTTACCTGCCGGCCACTTGTAGGTGTCTGGTCTGTGTTCACTGAATGAGCCAATGCTTTGTCAAGCTAGATCAGTAGGCTCACTGCCCGGAGAAGTCCGTCTTGGTTCCTGTTCTTGTTCATCTCCCTGATGGCTCACACCTGCTGGTGAGTACTGAGAGTGCTTCCTGGGTGCCAGGCACTGTGTTGATGTTGGGGTCCTCGGTTCCCTGGCTGCAGCCTCTCCAGGGCAGACTTCAGCAAGGCAGAGCTCCTAGCGTCTCCAACCCACTACTCGTTCACTCCTCCCACTGAGAGAAGGGGCTGGTTCAACGGAATTAGGAATAGAAGGGAGAACCTGCTTGAAATCGGTGACATCTGGCTTCCCCGCAGATCTGCCTGCCCAAAGGAAAGGCGCCCCCTGGTCTCCTCCCATTGCTCAGTGGGCAGCTGGGCCCCGGGAGGGAGGCCTGCCATCCAGCACAGCCTGCCTCTGAGGGGAATGGTGGGAAACACCTTGTCCCTGATGCATTGCACCTCACTGGAGATGTGCATTTTACACATTGTGATGTCTCTGAAATCGGGATGCATCTGCCACCCAGATGGCACGACAGAGTGTGACTGGCTGTGATTTTCTTGCCTAGTGGTACATCTCACACCCAATGGTATCTTAGACTCAAAGAAACATGGGAAGCAACACTCTCCAGTCAGCCTTATCAAAGAGCTGGTACTGTGACCCCCGTCCCTCCCAGTGAAGCAGAACTCATTTGTTCTGACTGAGCCGCGGGGGAGTGGAGGTGCAGGGTGCTATTGGTTGCCGCCATCCAGTCTCCTGAGCGCTCCTGGTGGCCTGGACCAGTGAGATACCTTCCCAGCCTGTGCCTGAGAACAGCCCAGGCCAGGGAGAAAAGAAGCACTGTGAGCCAACTGAGGCAATGGCTTGTCCGTCACACGCCCAGGGTGTTCCCTGAGCCCCTGACCACAATGTCCTATCATGTTTCTTAACAGTATCCTCACTAGACTGTGACATTTTTCAGKGCAGGAGCAAGATCTGATTCCCCTCCATGCTGGGGACCTGACACATGCAACCCCAAACCAGGAGAAGGGGTGAGAACCCTCCCCTCCCCACAAGCTACACAATGGCAAAATGATCGCCACTCAAACAGGTGCCAGAGCACAGACASTTTGTATTTATTTGTCCTGCATTTAGAACCCAAGAAATATAAAAACGTCTCSGGAATTAGTCAAAGGATCTACCTCCCCAGCCCCCTCCCTCCCTGGGTGGGCTCAGATAGGGGTGATGGGGGTTCAGGCCACCTCCCTTTGTCCAGTGACCAAGTTCCATATAAAAATAGATTTTATAGAGGGCTCCCCAAGACTCCAGCCTGCATCACACCAGCACCTGAGCAGGGTGAGGCCGGGGTCATCAGGATTCTGGGATCCCACCCCGCAGCAGAGGGGAGATCTACCCTGGACACCGAAGTCCTACCAACACAGCAGGARCCCCTCGGCCAATGGCTGGGGGAGGGGAGGGTTTTGACCTTAAGAGCATGACAGACAAGGTTAGAAATAGGAATGAGGTTCCATCTACCCAAGACAGGGTGTGGTCTCCTTGAACCCTGGACTCTGGTCCAGGCTTTCCTGGAGGGGACGGTGAAGGCAAAGACAGGAGGGCACCTGGCAAGGGACCCCCAACCCTGTTAAAGGTAGAGCAATATCTCAGTCAGTCCCAGGAGCCCCAAAGTCACCAAGGTGGGGCAGGTGCTCAGGGGAGCGGGAGCCAAGAGTCGGGGAGACTCTGAGGAGGGAGGAGTCGCTGCTGGCAGGGTGAAGCCAAAGGCACTGCTGGGGCCACCTCCTCCACACAGGGTGCTCCCCAAAGATGCGCTGCACCTCCAGCCTCTGGCTCCTTCTCTGCTCGGCTTCCTGTCCTAGGCCTGCCCCTGGGCCTGCTGGAAACCCCACCTACCTCATTAGGCTCAGCTAAGAAGGCTCTCTGGACACCCCTCAATAAGCACAAGTCAAGAGTGTCCACCTGCCCCTCTCACCCACCTTCACTRCCCCTGAGGGCCCCTGGGCTGGGCACTGGAGGTGCTTTGTCTTATCCTTGCCATCTGAGCTCATCTCCACAGAGCCAGAGCCCTCTAGCAGCAGGCTGCGGCCTTTACCTCTCCCACCCTGCTTCCTCCTTYCCAGCCACCCTGCCCCTCCCACTTGGCCGGACCAGAACAGGCATCTGTCAGAGGGAACATGGACAGACTCGGCCTGCAGCCCTGTCTATACCCTGCTCCCCGTTGATGCCCGTGGCCTCACGATCACCACCGCCGCTGGGGGCACTTCTGATGAGAACCTCTGACTCAGTTCCAAAAACTCCTGCCAGAGTTCTGTGGAAGCCAGAGGGAGGACACAAGTGCCCTGGGACACTAGGTGGTGACTAGGGACAGAGATGCCTGGAAGGGGTCCAGAGTATCCACTGGGCTGCCCCAGAGGGGCATGTTGGTGCCACATGGCAAGGAAGTCTCAGAACTCCATGCCAGGCTCCCCCTCAACTGGGTTCTGCCCCAGCTCCAGCCCTGAGTCCCATGGACTTGACTTTCCCTCTCTGTAGGGGGTAGGCCAGCGGCTAGAGAGGAAAACACATTTCTAAGATTCCTCATGAGCCCCCAGGGCCCCATGGAGAAGACATGTTCCTTATGCTCTTCCAAGCCAGTTCATGAAAAGAGTGCCAACAGGGGCCTCTGGGGCCCCTCCCGAGAGCACCAGAGCTTATGTGGCCCAGCCCGGACCCTCTCCCTCACCCTGTCAGCCTAAGGGTGGGCAAGCAGTCAGCTCTGAGTCTGGGGCTTTAGGGTCCAACCCCTGTGCTCAGCACCACTTTTGCCTGCCTGGGTCTTAGGACTAGTGTCCAGAGAGACCCACACACAGCACAGGGAGCTATGGACCCTGCCCCTGCAGCCCAGCCTCCCATACCCAGGCTGCCAAGCAGCTGAGGTCGCTGCTGGGTTGAATGGGTGCCCTTGACTGTGGGTCATGAGTCAGGACCCATGCTGTCTTGACTGACAATGGGTCTATGGGAAGAGGGGACACCCAGGGAGGCCCCAATATCCAGTGGGTATAGAAGACAGAGGGGCATGGACCAGGGCAATTGAAATCTACTGTCTCCCTCCCCATCATGCCCTGTCTCTGCCCTGAGACCTGAATTTCCACCTGCTACTGTCTCAGGGGTCTCCCCCTCACCCTGGGCATCTGAACCTCTTTTCCATGGGTACCAGGTCAGTGAAGTGTTCAGAGGGGAAAGTGGGAGAAGCAGGCAGTGAAATGGGGTACACTATGGCCCCAAACCAGCTCTGGGCCCAAGAGGAGAAGAGGGTGCTCAGTCCCACACGGCTAAAGCGCAGTTTGCCAGGGCCCTTGGGCAGGGCTGGGGGTCAGGCCCCTGGGGCTCTGCCTTGGAAGGGTCAGGGCCACTCACACCTGCACCCCCTGGCCCTGCAGCTGCAGCACTCGAGCCCGCAGGGCGCTGATCCCACTCAGGAGGGCCTCTCGATGCTCCGCCGAGGAAATGCCCAGGCTCACCAGGTCCCTGGAACAAGGACTGGTCAGATAGCGTCCAGCGCCCTCCCGCTTCCTTCCCTCCTCCCCCTCCCCTTCTTTGGACAGGGCTGGGCCCAGAGCCAGGACAAGCAGGGGCTTCCCATCAGGGCAAGGCAGGGTCTCTGTAACCCCTGGCTTGGCCCTGACTTGACTCACTGGTTGGTCATTTCAGCTGCAGCCTCCAGTGTCCCGTAGCCTGCTGCAGTGAAGCTGTCCTTGTAGCGGCTCAGGTCCAGGGCCTCCAGCCAGGCACCCACAGAGCCAAAAGAGGGGAAGGTGGAGAAGGCACGGTCTGCCAGTGGGGTGGGAGGCCTGGGGAGCAGAGGAGCTACTGTCAGACGGCTGGGACCTGGTGCCCAAACCCGCTGCTCTCCTGCAGAGGTCCACAAGAATCAGTGAGAAAGGGGAAGCAACTGAGCCCAGCGCCAAGCCTGGCAAGGTTTTGGATGCTCAGGCRGGTGGGGGGGATAGTTCAAGTGATGGGAGTGTTGGGAAGAGTCTATGGCGGGCATACCTAGAAAACAGGCATAGCCGATGAAGTGCTGGAACAACTAATATGAACTCCGCTTACTCCGTTTACTGGAACTACAAACATGGTGGCGGAGTCTGGCATGATCGGGGATCAGCAGGAAGGTACCTGGGACAGGCAGCAGTGGCACACGTGGAGGGTTCTGGGTCCTGCRCCATCTTGCTCAGGATGCCGTGGATCTGCGAGAACCTGGGCCTCTCGCCTGGGTCTTTCTGCCAGCAGTCAAGCATCAGTCGGTGCAGTGGGGAGGGACAGTTCCTGGGGGGTGGCAGCCGGAAGCCATCCTCCACGGCCTTGATCACCTGGGTCATGGGGATGAGAAGCAGACAGGAGGCTTCAGGTCTCCCGGACACAAGCACACACACACACACACACACACACACACACACAGGCAGACACCATCCCAAGGAGGACTCGGGTGGTGGCCAGGCAGGACAGGAAGGAGGTAGATAGAGGAGGGGGCCTGGAGCCAGGAGGTCAGTGGGAAGAAGACAGGTGTGGAGCCTGGGGCCAGAGGGTGCGTCACAGGGCAAAGAGCTGAGACACAGGTCACTCACATCCTGGCCAGACATGTCCCAGTAGGGCCGCTCCCCAAAGGCCATCACCTCCCACATGACGACACCAAAGCTCCACACGTCACTGGCAGAGCTGAAGTGACCAAACTGAAGAGTCTCGGGGGCTGCCCAGAGCGCTGGGCTCCGGCCACTCTGTGGATGGGCAAGCAGGTAGGACAGAGAGGAACTGAGTCACACCCAGGCTTCCCCACCCTGCATSCAGCCCCACCTGTCATCCTCCCAGGCGGCACCCCACCCCCAGCTTCTGTCTCAGGAAAGCCCCAGCTGACCACAGAGTGGTGCCCACTGACCTTTGCTCAGGCCCACAGGATGGAGGGACAGGGTGGGGAGTGACCCTGACAGCAGGGACAGGGGTAGGGAAAGGGAGACAGAGACTCCAGGGTAGCTGGACAGAAAACAGGAGGACAGGGGGCTGGGCTGGGGGAAGGGAACACTCACCATGGTGGTATAGACAGCCTCTGCTCGGTCCCGGGGACCCCGCCCAAAGCCAGAGATCTTACAAAGGAGGCCACTGCTGACCAGCACACGGCGGGCCGCCAGGCCCCGGTGAACATAGCCCATCTCCGACAGATACTTCATGGCTGATGCCAGCCCAGGCAGCAACCCCATCAGCTGTCCGGCCACCAGCTGCCCCTCATGCTGCTGTGGGGTGGAGGGAGTGGGAGGCTGAGGCCAGGGCAGTGCACTCACTCTCTGTGAACTTCAAGGAAGCCGCCTGGTTGTCCCTGGGCATCTGTGTACCCTGTGACCACCAGATCAGCCTGGCCATCAGGAATAAAGCCAATCCAAGCCCCACCAAGGAGAAAAGTGAGGGACCAAGAATAACGTGGTCATTAGTATCCCCAGGGCCCAGGCCACTCACCCTAAGAAAGCCATCCAGGGCTCCATGACTCATGTACTCAGTGACAATCATCAAGGGGCTTCCTGCGCCAGGGATGGGGAACACACACACTTAGTCACCTGCTCCACCCTATGCACATACATCCCACCCCGCAGGACTGCATCTTGACTAGGATGGCCAGAACCAAAACCAAGCTCCCTCATCTGCCACCACCCAGCCTGGCCCTGCATCCCCTGTGCCAAGACACAAAAGAGCCGGTGTCTAAGAGGACAAGATCAGGAGCTCAACAAGTTAGCTAGGAAAGATCATCAGAAGTCCAAGCAATCCACTGCCCAGTGTCACCACAGGGCAGAAAGGYCATTCCAGGTCAGAGGGGCCACTCTGGAGAGAAGCCACCTGAGTCTGTGGAAGGGAGCTGACAGCCCTTTAGGGGCTCCCTCTTGTGGCTGAGGGAGGGGCCTGGAGGAACACCCCACCTACCCGCATCATTTCCACTCCCCGTGTGGGGCTGGGGAGCAGGAAGTGGAGCGAAGGGCCTACCTCGGGTGACCACGCCCTCCAGCCGCACGATGTGGCTGTGGTCAAACTGGCCCAGAGTTAGGGCCTCAGCCAGGAAGCTGAGCCTCTGAGAGTCGGAGCAGCCATCCCTCAGCGTGTGCACGGCCACGGGCAGCTCCTGGCGCCCAGGCAACTGCAGGCAGCCACAGCACAAGTCCCCGAACCGCCCTGCAGGGAACAATGCTCAGATGCCACCCTAGAACACCTGGCCCAGGAGAAAGTGACTGTGGGTCCCGGTTTGTTTCTGGCCAGGGGTTTGGAGCTCCTGAGTTCAGATCCCAGTAACCTGAGTACTAGCAGAATGACCTTGAGCTTCATCTCTCTCTCTCTTGACCTCAATTTCCTTCTCTGTGAAGCTTCAAAGAGAGGATGTTGCACTTGCCAGTCCATCAAAGCTATTAAAGCCAGCATGACCCTGGACCTATGACAATGACATCTATTTTAACATACTGCCCCTTTCTGGCTTCTGGCCAGCAGGTCTGGCGACAGTGTTGGGAAAACGTCAGGCTCTGGTCAGAGTGTTGGTTTCTCTGGGAACAGAGAGGTGGGCAGGAGRCTGACCCTCAGAGAGCAAGCCAGGCCACTGTGAGAGCAGCAAAGTCCTCACATCAGCCCCATAACGCAGATGCCACGCCCATTTTGCAGAGGAGAAACCGAGGCACAGAGCAGAAGAGAGACATGCCCTGGTCATACAGCTTAACGGAAGAGCCAGGACCAGAAGGCAGGTGTGTCTGGTCCCATGCTTACAAAGAGCCTTCTGCACTTCTCCCACGGAGGCTCGGAGCTACACTGCCCACGGCAGCCTGCAGGGGTAACCCTGAATGGGACCCAGCAGAGAAGTCTCAAAGTGACCTTGAAGACCTGGAGGAGGCTGGTTGACAGGGTACAGGTGGGGACAGAGTGGAGGCAGGGCTTTAGAGTGGATGGGGAAGGGCTTTTAGAGTGGGTGGGGCGGGGCTTCTAGAGCAGGGAGGGMAGTGGGTGAGGCACTTCCAGGGAGCTCTTGTGGGACAGGTGGGACTTGGAGGCTGGGTGTGGCCTGGGGGTGGGGCTTCTATAGTGGGTAGGACCCCTGGATGGCATCAAGGCTTCCAGGTGCCCAGCTTGCCTGCTCCCAGGCTCCTCTCCAGTGTGACACTTTTCGCGTCCAATTCCTTGGCAAACAGATGCACAGCCTGCAGCGGGTCCCCACAGCTCTGAGGGTCCAGGAACGTGCGCCGTGTYGGGACTTTGACTGAGAAGGCAAGGAGAGAGAAGTTTGAGGAGAAGAGGCTTCCCGGCTGGGCAACAGCAGCGAAGCAGGGGCTCAGGAGAGGTAGGTGGCCCTCGAGGCCAGGCCCAGACTCACAGTGGAAGTACAGCTCCTCTTCATCGCGGGCGTCACCACCTCCTTTGCCATAGCTGCAGGGCCTGCGAGAGGGATGGGCCAKGGCTTTGCTTTGTTGTTACTGAAGACTGAACCAGGGGTGCCAGAACACAGAGCTACACCCCAGCCCTTTTCTACTTCTATTTTGAGACAGGCGCCTGCTCAGGGTCCTGATGAGGCTGAGGCTGGTCTGGAAATGGCAAGCCTCCTGGCCCAGCCTCTGGGATTGCTGGGACTCTGAGTGAGTGCCACCAGGCCCAGCTCCACCAGGCCCCTCAGTTCTTCTCACCTCACCAGCACCAAGGGCAGCTCCTTGGTGTCCCTTCAAACAGACAAGGTCTATGCCACTGGGGAGGGACCTTCTTGTCCTGTTGGTTTGAAAGCTTCTCTGTAGCCCTTCTTTCCTTCCTTCCTTCCTTCCTTCCTTCCTTCCTTCCTTCCTTCCTTCCTTCCTTCCTTCCTCCCTCCCTCCCTCCTTTATTTCCTTTTTTTTTTTTTTTTTTTGCTGCCCTGGTCTCTTCTCCATAGTTGACAACCTCCTCCGCACAGCACAGGTACAGCCCCAGCCCCTGCCCCTCATCCCATCAGCAGTCCTAGTTATTTCCACCTGGAGAGGATGAAACTCCCCAAAGGCAGCCAAATCCACCTCCCTAGCAGGAAGCCCCTGGGCTGTCCCCACCCACAGATTAGTGAAAAAGCCTCAATAAAGGGCTGGGCTGGGGCTCTTTGGTGGGGGGCTGGTCTAGCACGGTGAGGCTCTGAGTTCAACCCCAGAGTGTGTGTGTGTGGGGTGGGGGGGAGCAGCAGTGTGAATAAGACGGGAAGACAGGCAACCCTGGCCTCCAGCAAGCTCACAGGCCCAAACAAAGAAGGCTGTTGTGCCTGGCAAGACACCACACAAACCACCTGACCTGGTCCAGGGCCATCAAGGATGGCTTCCTGAGACGGGCAGCCAAAGAGCCAAGGACCAAGTTGCAATCCACAAAGCTGCGGGCTGGCATTCRGGGCACCTGAGGCAGGTCAGGGTAGCCCAGATAACTCTAGTTTTTATTCTGGAAGCAGAGAAGAGCCCCTGGGCCTGGAGCAGGGGAGTGTTGTGACTCAATCTGCTTTTTACAAAGATCATCCCAGCTGCTCTGTGGTCCCCTCAGGAGAGGGCAGTGGCTCTGGCTATGGGGTGACTGTGTCAATGGACAGAGGTGAGAGGGGCCGAAGGCTTGGAGACGGCTGGATGGCAGAAAGGAAGAAGTTGCCCAGAGCTCCCGGGGTGCTGTCGCCAAGATGGGGAGATGAAATTTTCCCATTTGACATTTGAGCAGGAGCCAGCGGGATGCATGGGGGGTGGGGGGCAAAGGAGCAGGGGGTTCAGCAGGTGCCCACAGAGGATGGAGCCTGACAGGAGGAGCTGGGAGCAAGGCTGAGGAAGCCCAGCAGTGGGAGGCTGGGAGGCTGGGAGGGAGAGAGGGAAGCCTCCAAGGAGGCCACAAAAGACCTGCAGAGAAGTAGATGGGAAACAGAAGGGAAACTGGGCGCAGACAGCACAGGGATCTGGGAGAGTGGGGGAGGGGCTGTGACAGTGGAGCAGGAGCGAGGGAGGGAGGGCTTTTCAAAAGAAATGATCAGATCCCGGTAAGATGAGGCGCAGTGGGCGTGGAAGGGCGCTTGCAGGGCCTGGACCTGGCTGCACGCACTGGCTGCYGCTCCCCCACTCAGCAGCTGTGGACTGGGTGGCTCAGGTTTCCCTTTTAATAAAATTAGGATAAAGACGGCCAGRCCGGCTGGCACCATTGCAAAGGCTTACTGACATAGTTCGGATTCTGAATGACCCCCACGAAGGCTTGGTCACCRGCCCGTGTGGCTACTGAGAAGTGGGGGAACCTTCAGGAGGGGATGGAATGGAAAGAAGTCAGRCGGGGAGCCCTCTAAGAAGATACTGGGACCCTAGCCCCTGCCTGTCGCTCTCTCTGCTTCCAGCCACCAGGAGGTGAGTGGCTTCCTCTGCTATGCACCCCCACCATGTTGTACTCTGCAGCCACAAAGGCCAAGGGAACCAAGGGACTGAAACCTCCGGAGTTGAGAACCAAAATGAACTCTTCCTCCTTATAAGTTGATTATCTCAGATATTTTGTCACAGCAATGGAAAGCTAACTCATACACATAATCACTAACCCTCAGTAAGTGTGCATTATTATCTGGGGGAGAGGCAAGCATTATAACTAATAATAGGTTACAGAGATGCTTGGAAAAAGGGGTAGGACTGATCCTAGCTAGGAGGAAGTCTCTAGCTCACAGGAGCGGGGCCTGGCATGGGGCAGGCTTACACACCGGGTGGTGGGCAGTTGAGGGGCCACTGATGAGGCTGAAGAGCAGGCAGCAGCCACGACTGGGTGGGCTCTGCAGGCCCAAAGCAGAAGAGCTGGAGGACATATTGGGGAGGGAGCGGTCTTGGAGGAGGGCCAGGAGGCCTGGTGGACAGAAGAGAAGGTTGTTGGCAATAAGRGAGTCAAAGAACTGAGAGGCACAGTGCAGGAGGCGGGTGTCGRGCCAACCAGTGGCTACTGAAGTCACCCAGGGCAGGTGACTTTTGTGCAAGTGGAGGAACATCCAGGGGAGGTGGGAAGAGATAAAGGGGATGCAGGAGCCACAGGGAGTACAGAGTTAACAGAAACCAGAGGTTAAGAGACAGGCCACACCCTCTCATGAGGGATGGGTGAGCCAGGTGGACCAGAGAGGGAATAGAGGTGACAGGGCCATGGAGCAGAGTGGGCAGCACGAGAGGAAGAGAGAGGATGCTGTGAGAGCTGTCGCAGAGCAGCTGCGAGGCTGGAGGAAGCTGCCTCACACCAGGCCCGGCTGCTTGTCCCCACTGCAGGGTAGTCTGGAGGGCCACTGCAGGCCGCCTGCCTCCCGCAGCATGTGTCTCTGCTGGGCAGCTGCTGCTGTGTTGCAGAGCCCCTGCCTGGAAGAGACGCTCCCTGCTCCCCACGTCCCCCCTGCCTCCAGAGCCTCTATGTTCAGAACCAGGACAGGTGCCCTCAGCAGCTGCCCACCCTGCTTCTCCAGCAGGCCCAGCACACGGACCTTTAAGCTGCCTGCTCCTCTCTGCCTCTGGACTCATCTGGTCCAGGCAAAAATGGCTCCCAGACTAGAAGGATAATGCCCTCTCCTGCTTGGTCACTGTCAGTGCCCCAGTCAAGGCCATGTACACAGCCAGTGCCAAGTGCATGCTCAGCCCACAGGCAGTCTCAGGAGGCGGAGTCAGGCTGCAGCATGGCTCCCGGCCAGCCCATCTCTCCCCTGCTCCCCCACCCCCCCTGCTCCTGCCTTTGGGTCCACAACTTGCACATTCTCTCATCAACAACCTGCTACCACCTGGGGCCTCTGCAGGTAGCAGAGCATGGCCCTGTGGAGAAGGAGGGATGTAGGCCAGTGAGGCCTCTGCTGTGTGCAAAAAGACTGGAATCTTCTCTCAGCCAGACTCAAGCTCTACATCCCCCCACCCCCATCCCCTTCCTCTGCCCACTCTCCTGCAAGCTTCCCTCTCCTGGGGTTGGGGAGATTTCTGGCTTATGAGTCCTCCTCCTTCTCCTCCCCACCTCTGCCACACACACACACACACACACACACACCACACACACCCCACACACAGTTTCTGCCTTTCTTCTCTTTGCTTGTGTTCAAGGGCCTCTAGACCCCTCAGGGCCAGGGGCTGGGGGCCTCAGAGCGCCTCGGGAGAATCCTAATCACACTGGAGCAGCTGGAACTTGATTCTATCCTTAGTGATGCCTCCTGACATTTAATGAGTTAAGGAGCTAAATCCCCTTCATCCCAGAGCAGCTGAGCTAGCTGCAGGGTTACTGCGCAGGAGCAGCAGGCAGTGGAGGAGGCGGGGGCCAGTCACTATCTATACAGCAGTGTGAGTGCTAATCTTCGTGTGCGCAAAGCAGGTGCAGATACAGGTGCCCGTGGGCACATGCTAATGTGCACAGAGACATGACCCGCCAGGGGTCACCTACCTCCTCCAAATGGCCAGTACGCTCATCACGGAGCCCAGGACGAGGAGGGCTGAGATGGTTACGACGGTGACGACGACTGCAGGACTCTGGTCCCTGGAGCCTGAGGCAGCTGCGAGGAAAACCACSAGGTTGAGGCTGGCAGAGAATGAGGCTCCTGAGCAAGCGTCGGGACGGTCAGCTGTCCTCAGCACCTTGCACTCAGCACTGCCTCCCAGGAGCAGAGGGACCAAGGTGGCTCCACCACCCACCGTGGCACTTGGAGTCTTTCCTCCTGGGACAGGGCACCTCCCACTGCAGCCCAGCTCTGAGAGGCTGGGAGGACAGCAAGACAGGCAGAGCCCAGCCTCCCCAGCTGCCCTTTCAGGAGGGCAAGGGAGACTTAAAGAAGCTCTGTAGGGCCACCGGCCTCTGCTCCCAGCTCCCTACCCCCACTCAGACCATTACCAACAGTTAGAGCCAGCTAGGGGTACAGCTAGGTGGCAGGTGCTTGCTTAGCATGTGCAAGGTCCTGGGTCCAATCCCCAGCAGCAACAACAAAAATAAAACATTAACAAAAAATAATAAGATCCAACACTAAATGCCCACTGATTCAAGACTCTATGTTTTGTCTCATTATCTTATTTCATCATCACACCAGTAACAGGAGTCACAGCTGAGGAAACTGAGGCGGAGTAGAGGTCTGTGATTTGCCCAAATGCTATGAAATATTAACACCTAATGTGTAAGAACCAATCAGCAGTGAACCCAAGATTTGAACCCAAACTCCAAAGACTCTACCTGACACCCAAGCCTCTGCTTTTGAATTATTTCCCCAAGGGGCACAGAGGACCCTATCCCTCCATCCACCCCTCCATCCACCCCTCCACCCCTCCATCCACCCCTCCACCCCTTCATCCACCCATCCAAAAGTGAACAAGTGAAGTGCGCCCTAGAGGAGTGAGTGTCCAGACCCCAGCTCTACCCTGGGGGAGTGAGTGCCCAGACCCCAGCTTGCAGACAGAAGCAAAAATGAAACAATGACAAAGGAACAAACAGGATTCTCAACAGCCCCGGGACGGTTTCCCCTGGCAGCACCAGGTGAGCCCAGTGAGCCCAGTGCCCACCAAGGCTAAGAGACATGAGCAGAGGCCTGYGAATTCCTTCCCAAAGCCTGAGAGGAAGGCTTTGCAGAAGGGGTGTCGACTGATCATGACCTGGAGACTGAAGGCTCTGACAATGCCCTCCAGGCCCAGACGCATAGCCAGGTGGCCCCACATGGCTGGAGGACAGACTGCATGGAGGCAGAGGTGGCAAGATAGAAGCTGGAGGCCAGGAGGACGGACGGACTGAGGGAGGCAGAACCTCCTTGGACGCCAGGCCAAGGAGCATGAACTTCATTCTGAGGGTTGGGGGGAGCCAGGGACAGTGGACAGAGGTCCTGCCCAGGGAGAAAGGGACCGAGGGCCTCTGCTGGGAGGAGAAGCTGGTAGCTGTGAAGAATGGGAAGCACTGAGCAGCCTAGGACTGAACTGGGCCTGGGAGAATCCGCCCTGTGGCAGCCTCCACCCAGACCGGGGACCAGCAGGGCAGGTGCAGCAAGACAGAGAGGGGGTGTTTCTGAAGGGACAAGTGGCGGTGGCTGGGTACACATGCATGTGGAACTGGGACTGAGGGCCATTGTCAGGCTGTCATAGAGGCCATCAGGCCAGGGCCAAGGAGGGCATTGCAGAGCCCGGGGTTCTGAAGGTGAACAGGACCCAGGGTCTGGCTGGTGGCAGAAGGGCAAGGGACCTGCCAAGAAGTGTTTGAAATGAAGCRTCCAAGGGACACAGGAATGGAGAATGGGACAAAGACAGTTGCAGCAGGCAGGCTCTGGGATGGCGGGCAGGATATCTGCCTCCTGGCCTTCCCTCCCCTGGCGACYCTCATCAAGGAACATTGGGTGTCATGTTCAGGCTTGGATGACGAGAGACCRTGGCTTCTGTCTTGGGTGTCCCGTCATCCTCTACTCACTGTCTGAAGAGATCTAATGCCAGGCGGGAGCCATATGGAAGAAGAAGCCCATGGGGCAAGGCCCCGCATGCTTCCAGCAAGCACCTGCACTCCTCCCTGGTCAAGCTGTGAGGCAACTGCAGCCCGAGGACACCCAGACTGCAGGCCGGGARGGACCCTGAGCCAGGCACCTGCAGAAGCAGCCCCCATGTCCCTGAGCCCCAGAGACCAAGAAATGACACATCTGCGGTCCTCAGGCACTGGGTTTGGGGGTGATTTGTTACACTGCGACAGATAATAAACAGTGGGGCAGAGCATGACCCTGCATGAWGACTCCAATTCCGGGTCACAGATGGGGAGACCCACCCTCCCACACTCAGGGCCACAGCAGGGGTGGCTGGGATGTGAGCAGTCCCTGCTCAGAGAGGCACCCAGTGAGCGGAAGCCACAGCCCTCCTCAGCCAGCAGCCCCGGCTCCCGCCCCCACCACACTTGCTGCTGCCAAACCCAAGCCTACACACTCGGCTCCTCTGCCCGGGCGCCTTCCTGCCCACCTCCACTTGTTTGGATGCCCCACAGCCTTCAAGACGTGGCTCTAATCTCCTCTGCGCAGCACCTGGCCAAGGTCTGGCGCAGACAGCCATTCGAGCAAGAAGTGCCGTCCTCTCCCTGGGACTCCGGCTCCCTCAACACTTATCTTCGCCTCCCTTTGGGCTCAGAGCTCTTCCTATCTTGGATTAGAGTCATGTAGCAGGTTGGAGAGAATTATTATCTTGACAGCTGGTGCCAGAATGCCTCTTAGGGGGAACTGCCTTTGTTCTGGAAAATACTTTCTTGAGCTGCTCAGGATAGATAGAGGTGAGACCCTGAGGGCTGGGTCAGCAGCCAGACTGCCCTGCGTGCCATGAAAAGGGATTTAGGGTGGGGGGAGAAGAGGGAGAGGGAGGGACACAGAGGGTGGAAAGGGTAGCGTGATGCCACAGGGAAGCAGATATTTTAGATCAGGATACCTGCCGGCCTCTGCGCCTTGTTTCCGTAGGACCTTTATTGAGGAACAGCTCACAACTAGCCCATTCCACTCGCTCACTTAAGGATCCAGTGTCCATTTTGTTTTATTGCCGCAATCTGACCCCTCTGGCCCCCAACCTTCAGTGACATCTCCTTCACATCCTAAGGCCTGGTGGGGGGGGGGAGGGACAGTGCCCATGGCAGGCCATTGTCACAGGAGAGAAGCAGGAGAATGGGAAGAAGAATCTGGTGGTCATAACGAGACCATGAGACTTATCAACGCCCCCCCCCTCCAAGAAAGTGGCCAGATCTGGGAGAGGACGCAGGGCGTTTCTGCACCATGACAGGTCTGCAGAGGAGGGGACACTGGCCGAGGCAAGCATCATGGCTGTCCAGACCCTGGTCCTTTGAGCCCCTCCAGGGCATGTACCCGATCAAATCCATGTCGGTGGACTCCGAGCTCCTGCATTAATTAGACTGATTCCACTGCTCTGCAGGCTCCCTTGATGGCACGCTTCATTCCCGCCCTCTGTTTGTCTCCCTGTCCCTGTCCCTGTCCAGTGCCAGGCTCTCTCTGCCCACACCCAGTCCATGAGCACACACCACTTACCCTCCCCTGGGGTTTGCACCTCAATACTCGGGTTGAAGCTCTGGGCCTCCCAGGAGGGCCCCGGGGAAGCTGCCCGGATCTGGAAGACGTAGCGGGTAGCCGGCTTCAGGTTGGTGACAGTGACCGCAGGCGTCCCTGTCTTCACTGTGGAGTAAGTCTGTTCACTCTGACCCTGGAGAGAACCGAGAAGTGAGGCCCAGACCCGAGACCAGACCCACACTGTGGGGAGAAGGGTGAGAGGAAGCGGGAGGTGGGAGCAGCAGTCTCGGGTGAGCATGAGCTCGGTGACAGAACCTGACCCTGGAGTCCGGGGGATTCCCAGCACCCCCGTCCACCACAAGTTCCACTGGGGGTGCTGGTCGCTGAGAACAGCCCCACTTCTGCCTCAGAGAACCTTGAGAGAAGATGCCAGGCCATCAGGGCACGGTGGTCCAGGGACACGCGGGGCCAGAGTCCCGACAGTCCTGACATCACAGGGGAAAGAATAAGAAAGCAAACCCCAGGACCCAGGAGATGAGGCAGGAGAATTGCACGCAGGAGGTCGGCCTCAGCAACTTAAGAGACCTGTCTCAAAATAAAAAGTGGAAAGGGCTGGGGATGTGGCTCGGTGGTTCAATCCCTGGAACCAAAAAAGAAAGATGCCAACACCTGCCCAGACCCCATGCTCAGGAGGCTTTCCCTCCCGGCATCATCTGATTTTCACACAGGTCCTTCCAGGCACAGATAAGGAAACTGGGCCCAGCCCCTACTGGGGACAGGGAACAGCGTGTCAATTACTGATGAGGACCTACTCACCACCAGCCCCACCCCAGACAATTCACAGCAGCCGGAGTCAGCCCTGCTGTCCTTTCCAAAGGTTGAAATCAGGAAGGGTCAGGGTGACGCCTGCTCTTTGCTCTATATCATCCTTCCCCCAATGCATCTGATAATGACACATCCTAAAGGTGCTGCTGCCCTCCTGTCACCTGTACCCATACCTTATGAGACCTCCTGCGGCATCCACAGCCCCGGGGGGGGGGGGGGGGGGGGGGGGGGAGGCACACCCCCTGCCGATATCCTTTCACCATGACATTCAGAAACTGGGACTGACTTTGGGCCAATGAGAATCTCCTTTCTGGCATTTGGACAATCCCTGGGAAGAGCCTGGCTTGGTGGCTCAAGCCCACAGTAATTCCAGTGGCTCCAGAGGCAGAAGGATCACAGGTTCAAGGCCAGCCTCAGCAACTTAGTGAGGCATTAGCAACCTAATGAGATCCTGGGGCTGGGGATGTGGCTCAGTGGTGCTTAAGTGCCCTTAGGTTCAATCCCCAGTACAAAAAAAAAAAAAAAAAAAATTCCTGGGAAGGCAGAGGCAGTGGTTGCAGGACCCAAGAGATGCAGTAAGCTAGGGGGGAGGAGGGTGCAAGGACCCCAACCTCAGCTGCTGGCTGTGCTAGAAAGAAGCCCCTCTGCAGAGGAGGCTGGGCTGGTTTGCAGAGAGAAGCCAGGTGAGGAACACTGAGGCTCCAGGGTCCCTGGCATCCCAGCGGAGCTCCCACACAGCCCCTGGTGTGTTTGCTCTTCTTTTTGAGGGTTTTGTTACCAGCATATTCACACTCCCTGATTAAGGACCTGGGAGCATGCAGCCAGCTCAGCCTGGGACCCTTGTCTACGACCTGGTCCCCAAATGTCAGTTCAGCGAGTCCTTTTTGGGGGTGGAGGGGGAGTTTCCAGGGTGCTTAACCACTGAGCCACATCCCCAGCCCTTTTTGATATGTTATTTAGAGACAGGGTCTCGATGAGTTGCTGAGGCTGGCTTTTCAGTGAGTCCTTTCTAAGCACTTGCTGCATACACAGCTACTTCCCAGGCCTTGCCTCCTGTCTCCAGGGTTCCTCTGGGCTCCGTCCTGGCTACTCTTACACACTCCCCTCCTGGTGTTAGCTACCATCACTGTGCTGAAAGGTCCCAACCTTCTCTCTCTCTCTCTCCAGCCCAGGGCTCTACCTTGAACCTCAGACCTATGGATCCACCTGGATGTCCTACGGCACCTTACCCTATCCATACCCCCCAACTTTTGTGTGTGTGTGGTAATGGAGGTTGAACTTAGAGATGCTCGCTCTACCACTGAGCTACATCCCAAGCACTTTTCTTTTTTCTTTTTTTTTTTTTTTTTGAGACAGGTTCTCACTAAGTTGATCAGACTAGCATCAAACTTGTAATCCTCCTTCCTCAGCCTCCAAGTAGCTGGGATTGTAGGTATGCAGCACCACACCTGGCCAACAGGCCCCCTGAATGCCACATGAGCAAAACCAAGTGCACCCCCTTGCCCCACTCTGCTCCTCTTGCTCTGTGGTTCTCCATCTCAGCCAGTGGTACCCTATTCCCTGAGTCACCCAGGTCAGACACTCAGCAGTGACTTGGGACTCCCTCTTTCTTCTGGTCCCTGACACTCCCAGCTCTCAACTGTCTTCTAGTATTCAAAAACTATTATCTGATTCAGCAAAGAATTCCCACATGTCACTGAGAAGTGAGCAAAGTTCTGACATGTGTAGTGCTGACTCTGAAAGATGTTTCRCTTTAATGAGTTTAATTTGCACCAAGGTGAGAAGCAGTTTAACGGTAGATTACACCTCAGATTTAGAAGACAATAAATTTTACAGGGAAAAGAGATAGTGGGTTGGGATATAACTTCATTTGTCAAATCATAGCTGAACTGCACCCATAGACTAACAAAACCACTGAGCATGATGGCCTATGACTGTAGTCCCAGCTACTTGGGAGGCTGAAGCAGGAGGACTGCTTGAGTCCAGGAAATGGAAACCAGCCTGGGAAACACAGCAAGACCTCATCACAAAATAATAATCATGATGATAATAATAATAATCCAAGAGGTTTACAAAACCATCCCATGAGAATCACCTAGCTAGCTGGGCATAGTGGTTCTCACCTATAACCCCAGCTACACAGGAGGCTGAGATAGGAGGACACAAGTTTGAGGCCACACTGGGAAATTTAGGGAGACCCTGTCTCAATATAAAAAATAAAAAGAGCTGGGGATATAACTCAGTAATTCAGTACCCCTAGGTTCAATCCCCAGTACTTCAAAAAAGAGATAATCAATTGATTATGGCATTTATAATGAGTACTAAAGATGTTACTTTAATAGTATTATACATGATGTGATAGATACACATCCTTTACATCAATAAAATCATAATTCCTGCACTCGTTATTTTGTAGACCTGGTTATTAAACATTACCAGCATTCCACCCAACCTAGCAATGTACTCATATGGTCAGACATCTTTTAATTTTCTTATTTTGGTACTAGGGACTGAACTCAGGGGCGCTGTACCACTGAGTGTCCTAGCCCTTTTAATTTTTTTATTTTGAGACAGTGTCTCACTAGGTTGCAAATGGTCTTGTTAAATTGCTGAGGCTGGCCTCTAACTAGCAATCCTCCTGCCTCAGCCTCCGTCCTCACTGGGATTACAGGCATGCATCAATGGTCAAGACGTTTTTTTGTGAAATTTGAAACAAAGCCAGGCTGGTTGGCACACGCCCCTCTGGAAAGTTGAGGCAGGAGAATCACAGGTTCCAAGCAATTGTTTAAGATCCTGTCTCAAAATATAAAGGGCTCTGGATGTAGCTTAGTGGTGAAGCTACCCTGAGTTCAATTCCCAGTACATACACACACACACACACACACACACACACACACAGTACAAGAGGAAAAGGGAGAGGGAGAGAGGAGAATGAGAAAGGGAGGAGGAAGCGGAGAAATTTTAAAAACACGGTATTTCTGTGTTCTTTTCCCTTAAAAGCAGTCTGCAAATGGTAGGATTCGACCACACAAGATCTGTACCAGCCCCCAGGGAAAGCTCTTTGTCAAAAGAGGTAAAAATGGAGATGCTAATGAGGAGGAAGGCCAACTTGAGGGGAGAGAGGCAGAGCATGGAGTCCAGGAGTGGAGGGGTCAGGAAGAAGAAATTCCAGCCTGGAGACGGGGAAATTGTGCAAAAAGAAAACAGGAAGGGCTCAGCTGGGAGGGGGGCGTGAAGAACCGAAAGCCGGGCAGGCAAGGGGCGAAGGCTGCGGGTCCCTCCCAGACCCCGACCAACCACTCACCTTCTCGTAGTAGCGGATCTCATACTCCGTGCTGTTGGCCCCGGGGGCTCCAGCGGGAATGGGCTCCCGCCACGACAGGGACACACTCTGGGGCTCCACCCGGTCCCTGCGGATCTCATCCTCCTCCCAGGGAGCTGAAATTAAGTGAAGTGGGGTTCTCCACCCAGATCCGCTGAGGTGGCGCAGGGTCTTGGGGGGCTGGAGGGCGGGGCGTGCGGGTGATGGGAGGAGCTAAGGGTGGCTGGTGGGCGGGGCGGTGGGCGGGGGCGGGGCTAGGGATGGAAGAGGACGGAGTCCGAGACCTGGGGCTGGAGACTCTCCTCACCACCTCCACTGCCTCTGGTGGGGAAGCACCAACGCTCCTGCCCTGGCCCACCCCACACCCCAGCTCCCTCAGGGTGGGTGGCTCTAGTCCCCCAGGGGGTTTCTACACCCCCGATGGCTTGGAGATATCAGAAATCATTTAGAAGCAGGGGAGCAGCTATTTAACTAGTCCAAATGTCTGGTCAGTGGAACAAAACAAGCACCGAACTGGAAATGGAAGGAAATTCGCCCAACATAATCAAAGGCCGATATGAAAAGCCACAGTGAGCATCACACTTGGCGAAAGACTGGAGGCCTTCCCCCTGAGATGTGGAAAGAGGCAAGGAGGCCCACCCTTGCCACTTCTAGTCGCCATAATACTGACAGCTCTAGCCAGTATTATGGTGACCAGGAAAAAAAAAAGGATGAAAAAGGAAACTCCTGCCAGAGCTTACATAAYATGGATGAACCTTGAGGACATCATGCTGCAATAAGCCTCGAACGAARACACAAACCCTGGGGCTGCGGCTGGGCTCAGCGGTAGAGCACTCGCCTAGCATGTGTGAGGCCCTGGGTTCGATCCTCAGCACCACATATAAATAAATAAATAAATATAAAATGAAGGTATTGTGTTCAACCCAACTAAAAAATAAATTTAAAAAACAACACTGCAGGATCTCACTTTTTAAATGTGAGATATTAAAACAGTCAAATTCTTTGAAACAGAAAGTAGAACTGTGCTTGCCAAGGGAAGGGGAGGAATGAGGGGAAAGAGGCGCTCTCCAATGGGTGTAGAGTTTCAGTTCTTCAAGATGAAAAAGTTCTAGAGAACTGTAGCACAGCAATGTACCCAGAATTAACAGTCCTATGCTGTACACTTAAAATTAGTTAAGGTGGTAACATTTTTCTTATGTGCTTTTTACCACAATAAAAATATAGAGATGTCCAGGTCACATCCCAAGTAATTTAGTCATAACATCTGTGGGGTGAGTCTCAGGCATTAGTATGTAGATTTTGGGGGGTGACTGAGCCCAGGGATGCTTAACCACTGAGCCATATCTCCAGCCCTTTTTCTTTTTCTTTTTTTTTTTTTTTTT